ATATATAGATCTATATATATATATATCTATTAAATAATAACATAGTTTAGTTAACTTAGTAATCCTATGAAAAATAACAATTATTTTTATAGGGCTGTCCACACATCACACCACAGCCCCCCTCCTCAACCTCCTCACAATACAAGGCAAAGTTCTCTCTATTTCTCTGTGAATTTGTCCTAACAAAGTTTGTGTGATTTTCCACCACCCCACCACAGCCCGCTCACGTGAATTTAGTGCCCCCTACTACCTTCTCACACAAACTGAGAATGTAGAAAATGTTAGAATAATCCTGTTTTATAAAAATATGTTAAAGATGGGTACATATGGGGTAATTTGCCTACCTCACAGCCCCCTTGCCCACATCTTCCCACAGAAACTTAAAATGTATTGTAAAGATACTTTATAATAGGATTATTATAAAATACTAATCTCTACAGCCCCTCCTTGCCCTTTAAATTAACTTATAAATTTTAGTGAGATTACCTCATGATAGGGACAAGTAGGGCTAATTCACCACCCACCTTCATGGAAAATAATGAATTTTTCTTAGATATTTGTTATTTTCGTATTTGTCGATACTTTACCTCCATTGTACAATAATTTTAATTTGTGTTTCTTCTATTTCATCAGTTTCTGTCTTAATATCAATAAAATTGATTGTAAATATAAACTTTCCAAACAGAGATAGCTCACGAGGTGAAAAGTGATAATAATACATTGAATTACATTACGTTTAAGTCCTTTTATGTAGTGTATATAGTATTTTTTATTTACTTTACACACTTTTTTACCGATAATGATGGAGTCAAATTAAATAAGACCATTTTATTTAAATAATTAAGTTTTCCAAAGAATTACTAAAATTATAAAAATTAACATATTACAAAATTTTATGTTGAAATTGAACGCGTTAGTAATTTTTGTAAAAATACTTCTTAGTTCTTGATAAAAGATTGTAAAATACAAAAAAAATAGTAACTACTTAATTTTGCTATTTAATTTTAAACTAGAAATTGGGGGTCGGTGTGCGCGCGTGTGCGTGTGTGTATGTGTGTTACTCCTAGAGGAAACAGATGACCAATGAATTTAATTTTTAATTAAAGTTATGGAATTAATTAATTATAATCCTTAAATTGATGTTATACTTGAAAAAGCTATTACTGTCATGTTACCAAATCAGTTCTAAAAATTTTAAGTTAATATTTAGTTTTAAAGAGTATGCAAGGTGATAAGATTTTAAAAAAGTATAAAGTTCATTTAAGTAAAAATTTTACTGATAATAAACATTATTTTGTTCCTTTACACATAAATTAAATTTTTCAACTGCAAGATAAGTTTTGTAAACTGATCAGTTTACTGATTGATGTAAGTAGTTAATCATAGTAAAATAAAAATCTTGAGAAAATTGCATTTTGTGCAAAAATGTTTGAAAATATATTTACGGCAAATGAAATTCAGATCAAATAAAATTTTCAAAATGATATCTAGAGGAAAAAAAAAAATCTTTTTATGGTCATAATGGTTCAGGAAAAATATTTTATTTCAAGATCTTCAAATATTGCATTATTTCTCTTGTTGAATACATTTTAACGATGGCATGGACTCATGTTGCCTTAATATTACTGCCTAAAAGAATGACCAGTCACAGAACTTTTCGTTTACGATGAGATTTGAGTAATGTTGACCGTTCATTTTTCGAATCAAAGTAAAGAAAAAAATTAAAAGAAGTAGATGTAATCATTTGGGATAAGGCTTTAATAATCCCAAAAAAAGCATTAGAAATAGTTGACAGAACTTGCCGTGATTATAGTAATACAGATATACATTTTGGAAGATTTCCGTCAAATTCTGACACTTATGAAAAGGAATAATAGATGTATGATTATATCTAAAAGTACTGAAACATCTTATTTTTTAGTCTTATTTTTATACAATGAAATAAGATCATAATACTCGCTGTAATTAATCAGAATTTTAATAATTGTTGTTAGAAATAGGAGACGGACCAATAAAATCATTCGAAATTTATAGTAAATGGAAAACTGGTTATGTCTGCTTGACAATTTTTTATTTCAAATATAAACTGTCTCATACGTAATGTTATTCTCATTTTTCATAATAAATCCACTCAATTTTCAAACAACAAAATCCTAAATCATTTACCAGGAAAAAGTTACACTAACTATAGCATAGATCATGGTACTAATAAATGGGTTAATAAGTCTGACGACGATACATAAATTTTTTAGTTGAAGTTTTAAATAATATTTATGAAGGTTTACCACCTCTTAAGCTAAATGAATAAATAAAAGCGATTGTAATGCAGAGCCAAAACTTAAAAATTGTTGACGGGTTATGTAATGGCACAAGATTACGAATTACAAAATCATCTAAATATGACATTGCAGCTAAAATTATAACTGGTGAAAAATCAGAAAAAAGTCTTTATTCCAAAAATAACTTTAAATACTAGAAATACCTCTTTATCACCCTTTGTTCTATACCAAATGCAATGTTTCCTATAGTATTAGCACTTTTAAAGGTCAATAATACATTAATAAATCTTAAGGCCAGAAGTTCTATAAAGTAGGTTTATTTAAAAAAAAAAAATTATTCCACCATGGTCAATTGTATGTTGCGTTATCAAGATGCAAAAGTGAAAATGGATTATTCATACAATGTCATCGTCATCTTAAATTAGTAATAAAAAATGTAGTTTATAAAAGAATTCTTTTTCATTTGATTAAATTTTATTTAGAAAACAAATTTTACTAAATAATTTTATCTTTAAGTTTTTCTAACAATATTATCAAACCTAAAATGTAAAACAAATAATTTTCTTTTCAAAGTGGAAATTTTAGACTCATAATTAAGTAGTTAATGATAAGTTTTTTTAGTCCAGTATATAAACTGCTTGGAGAATACAAAGATAACAAAATAATTCAGTAATTTACTGAATTATTTAAATTGTCTTTTTGTGGAAAGTAGGACTAATGGCGAGAACTAGGATTTAGATATTCAAATGGCTTATTGATTGCTTATTATAATATGATTAATATACTCATTAAAAATCAAATAAAAAGTCACCAGCAGGCCATTACCCCATGGATATCGGAGAAAATAAAATTAATTCGTTAAGAATACCATATGAATAAAAAATAACAGACTTTTGCAGTAAAATTTTTGATAGACAAATAATTTTTTCATGAACTTAGTTATTTTAACATTAAATAACGAATACACTCAATCATCAAAAAATAAAATACTAAACAGTATGAAAGGATTTGCTACATCCTACTACAGTATTGATTATGCAACAGCACAAGAAACAGATGAACCTAATGAAAATACACATTAAACTTTTTCAGTTGACGTTTTAAATGCGATTTATAGAAGCTTACCACCTCATGAGATAAAATTGAAAATAAATTTAGTAGTGATGTTGATAAGAAATTTAAGTATAATAGACGAATTATGTAATAGAACTCGTTTACTGATAATAAAATTATTTAAGTATTATATTTAAGCTGAAATCATTACAGGTGAAAACAAAGGACAAATAGTATCCCTAGAGTCACTTTTAATACCAGGGATCATTCTTGTTCACCGTTTATTTTACATAGAAAACAACTTTAATCGATTTTGACTTTGTCTTAAATGATTCTAAAAATGAATCGAAAATAAAAACTGTTGTCTGGCAGGAAATTTTTGAAATCTAACAATATTCGTGACATCATATCTTCGTATCAAACATGAATGAACTTATTGGTTTGCACAGTGTTTTATTTTTAGATAACATTGGTCTAAAGGATGTTTGATACTATTATTTTAAAATATTACTTTTAAATAAAAGAACATTTATGACGGGTTACAAAAATTATGTTATTTCTAGTTTGTGCGAAATGTATAAAATAAAGAAAGGGTGGAGAAGGGAGTGGGCAAGAAAAAAGTAAGAGGCAGCTTGGGGAAGGGGTGGGGTAGTGTGGGAAAGGGAGAGGAAGCTTGGAGGGGGTAGCATGGGGAAGTTTTTTAGTTAGAATAAGTTCAAAAATAAAAGAAAAATAACGTAAACCGTAGGGAAGTGTGGGGTAGAGTGGGAAAACAAATTTTAAGGTATTTTGAAAACAACTATATAATATAGGAAGATTTATACACACATTTATGTACGGACTGCTCTGCATAGCAGTCAACGTATGCGCAGTAATACTATACTGTTTATTGAAGTGACAATACCGACAACACTTGTGCGATTTTCAATCATCTCATACAATTTTAAGTAACAAAAACATTTTATTGATATTAAACTCCTACACTGGATTTTTCATTTTACAGGTAATAGTCAAACACATGGTGATTTTCACAGTGAATGGTACTGAAAGATTTTTAGTTATTGTCACATACGCAGTTAAATTAAATAAACTGTCGACTAACGTTTTTAATTGTTAAGTTCTTACATGCAACAAATTTTGTTTTAGAATTCCTTATCTACTTATTGTGTTTTAACTACAGTATAATTTATTTTGTGACATTTGTTTGAATAAACTGAATACAATAAATACTTGCCTGGATAAATAAATCTTTTTATTGCTCTATTTTCAAATCTATTACTTTTCATACCTCCGCGGATACTAAGCCATACATATTTTATCCACATATTGCTACTTTTTTATTGAACTAATCCTTTTACTGTTTTCCATTATTATTTACTAACTAATGTTGCTTCTCATTATTACAACTGTGTTAAAATTTGTTCTATAGATATAGATGTTACAAATCAAAACAACCAGAATAGTCTCCTCACTACAACTGAAAATTATCTGAACAATAATCATAAGAAGCAGCTATGTGGAGGTAATAAACAAGCAATAGAAAAAATGCTTGATTTTGGTAGACAGTTGTATGCTCAATCTATACAGTTGAAACAACGAAGTGGAAAAAATGAGCACAATAAGAAAATGCTCCGTGATGCATTTAGTTTGTTAGCTTACTCAAATCCATGGGTATCTCCAGTTGGATGGCAGCTAGATCCACAGCAAAGAGAAACTGTTTGCTCTAAGCTTAATTCAGCTTTATTAGGTAAGAAATGTTTTAAAATCGTATCAAAAATTTATACTTTTATTCGTAGAAAAGTAAATAATTAGAAACACATTTTCTTTGTACCATTTAAAATGTTCATGTAGTTTGATATATTAAAAACTATTAAAAGTAAAAATTAATGAACGATTATTTTAAATTACACTAATTTGTAAAAGAACGGTCTCGTTACATCGTGTGTGTGTTGCACTCTATTGATAAAAAAGGACTTGTTATCTTTCATCCTCATTTATTTTTTAGAAATTTCACAAGTTTTGTTAATGTATTTTTTATCTTTATCTTCTTGAAGTTATACGTCTATAAGCGCCTTATGCATGAGAGTAAGTAAACGTTGGTTACTTTAACAAAAAGTGTAACAGAAGTGGATTTTGCATGTAATTTCCCCCTTACCTCGTTCCTCTTGCCATACTGCCCCGTGCCTTTTTTTTCACACGATACGATACCATACCACTAGAGCACAGCACAGATTTTGCATTTTTTAAAATTATTAAGTATTTTACTCCTTCTTCTTTAACCAATTCTGAAGAAAAAAATTTTTAAAAATAAAAACCGTTTTCACTTACATTACAATCTCCGATCTCCTGCACACTACCGAAGGCCCTTACCCACTCAGCTATGAGCGGTCCCGATTAATTTCGATTAGTTCATGGTATGGTGAGGTTCATAATTTTTTTGTTATGTGAATTCTTATGTACAAATTGGTTTGATTATAAATTACATTATTGAATAAATTATTTAATAAACTAATTTTTTTAGTTAAATTTTTTTTTTTAAACTTAAAACTTTGTATATTTTAGCAGAGCAGCTGTCCTACGGATAATTGAACATAAATTTATTTATAATTCATTGTTACTTTTACAATAAATAAATAATTTTTTGTACATATTTCTCATTTTTTTTCCAAAACTTTCGAAAATTAAAAAAATTTTTGAACTGTATAAGAACAATAATTGATTTTATTGCGTTTTATCCTTCCACAATTTTTTTACTCGTGAATGAGAAGATTTTTTTAACTTAAAGACGGTCATCACGTAGTTAGCAGGGGAAAAGTTCAGAGAGGTGAGAGGAGCGGACATAGATACAGCAACGCTGGCAGTTATTTTTCTCATATGGATGTATTTACACACATTTTTTTACGCTTACTTGACCCTTCCTTTTTTGTATTATTAGAAAGAAAAAAAAACTTATAGATCTATTAAAAAATTTTATAGGTTTATCTAAAAGCAATCTCTGATACGAATAGAAATTAAGAGACTTCTACAGATTATATAAATGCAATTTTACGTGATTTTTCTGTATGGTTACATGTTAGATTAATGTTTAAAAATAAACGTTTTTCGACTGTATCTTGAAAATACTGAAAATTCTCTCATGTTTGGATAATGAATACGGACGTTGCCAAAATCTTCAAAGAATTTTTTTTTATATTATAACCTCTCAAAATTAGAAAAACAGTCATATCTCAAAAAGGAAGCCAGATATGTTTAAAATAATTCCACATATAGAAAATAAGTATTGAGGTACAAAAATGTATATTACGCTGATTGATACAAACAATCGTAATAGTTCTAAAAATAGTAAAAGTCATATCTCAAAAGCAAAGCTACATCCTTTATATTCTACCTATATATAAGTTTTCTATTTTCTATAATTTATTATGAAAAAAATTGTCACGTGACCAAAACCCATATTTTTATTATTAATTTTTTGAGATCAGTAGAAATTTGTTACGCACAGGTAAATTTTAATATTAAATTATCAATAATTATAAGGAATAAGTTGAATGAAAAATTACAACTTAAAATTGGAAAATGTCCATTGTTTTCCTTAATCTCAATGAGACAGAGTTAATTATTTTACTTTTATGGTAGCCAAAATTAAACAAAATTTTATTGGTTGGATACAAAGATTTCAACAAGAATTTATTGTACACATATAACGTCATATCAAATACTCAAATAGTAATTTGAAATAAAAGGAATTTTTATCCCACGTAACAGAATGAAAGTTCTTCCTTTCAGCTCAGTTTAGTCAAAAATTTTTTTTTCATTCTGCATTACATGACCAACAATTCGTACATGTATTACATACATCATAGCAAACATGGACGTACTTAGGATGTGTAAATCGCGTGTAACATAAGTAGTACATTGAAGTTTGTGTACTCTATGCACGCGCGTGCTCGCATACCTAATTATATTAGAACTGTCACTATTTCGATATCGGATTCTTAAAGATCTATTGAAATTAGTTGTACTTTAATTTTTCCAGTTTCTATTATACCGAGTTTAATAACATTCAAGTTGGAAGTTTCACTTCTACCGGGGGTCTCGAGACCCACACCTGTTTTTTTTCTTTCCTTTTTCAATATAATAAGTACCCTGAATGCTAAAAAATCTTTTATCCAGTATTAAAGACGAGTAGTGAAGTTTTTCAAATGATGTCTAATAATGACTGCATCTGAAGGGTACGCATGAGAAACACACGAACTTGAAAAAACGTTTAAATTGCCCAGTGCCTCTCAAATCTGAGACGCAAATCTCTAACCACCACGTACGGGGTGGCTGGTGTGGAGATACTAGCAAAAAAAACCGCCAAAATTTTGATATAGTACATACTTGTAAATATCAAATTAGTCTAACTAAAGATAAATGGAAGATCGCTACAAGAGTCTGCAGGTACCTCAAACATACAAAAGATTAAGATGATAGGTTTGATGGGTGGTGGGTGCGGGGTATTCTAAGATCGGCCGGGCTTTGTCAACATCTGTCTTAAGTCCTTTCCTGTTTACCACGTACCCAAGATACTTAACTTCTCCACATCCAAATTCTGATTTTTCGCGGTTAATCACGAGGTTCGCCCTTTTTAAGTGCCCTCAACACAATCCTCAACCACTAAAGGTATTCTTCGAACGTTTTGGTGACAATTATTATATCGTCCATGTACGTGTAAACGTAGGGTTCCCACTCTGATTTAATAATCTGATCTATGATGGTCTGGAATGTTGCTGGGGCGTTGGTGAGTCCATAGGGCATGCGCACATATTGATACAACCTTCTACCAGGTACAGCAAAGGCTGTGTATTCCTTGCTGTTTTCATCTAAAAGAATTTGATAATAGGCCTCACTAAGGTCGATTTTCGATCTGTACCTGGCTCGGCGCAGTTTGTCCAAAATATCGCCTATGAGTCGCATAGGATAAGCGTTTTTTCGCGTAATTTCGTTGAATTTCCGGTAATCTATACAAAATCGGAATTTTCCGTTGGCTTTTGGTGCTAGAAGTGGACAGCTACACCACGCGCTTTCGGATTCCTCGATGATTTTCTCATGCAACAGCCGATCTATCTCATCGTATGCAATCTGTAGGACTTCAGGGGCGTACCGTCGGGGACGTTGTTTAATTGGGGGGTGGCCTTGGACGTCTATGCTACGTTTGGCTACGGTAGTAATGCCCAGCTTTTCTGGGCGAGGAACGATCAGTTCATCGAGGAACTTTACTAACTCTTATTCCTCGGAAGAAGTCATCGTTATTAATCCTCCCGTAGCAGCGACCGCTGTTTGGCGTTCCTGATCGCTCTCCTTGCCCTTAAACGTATGCCATGGACTTGTGGGAGTACACCATACATCCTTACCGTAATCTACGATAACTTGGAACCTTTTCAGAAAATCTATCCCAAAAATGGCTTAGTACTCCAACTCCTCCACTAATCCCAATGTCAGTGTTTTGGTCATTTGCCCGATAGTTATCGGAACATCTATGGTTCCTTGAACGGGCAGTATCTTTCCTTTGACAACAGAAATCGTAGCACGACAGGGTTGGAAATTTTTCAGCCGCCTAGTTATTCCTTTTCCTGAATAACAATGTACCGCACCGCTATCCACGAGTGCCTGTGTTCTAATACCTGCGACATCAAGTGGTAAATAGTGACGTGGGTCTTCAGCCAACGCCAAAACCTCTATCGTTTTTCCAGTTCGGTTCGGTGGACGGTAGAAAACTCGGCTCCGGCCGCTTCTTTCGTCCGTTGCTTCGGCAATGGGTGTTTTTTTTTCTTTCCCAGCACCTAGGCCCTTACTGTGCATATGGTCGGTTATGGAACTGGTTTTTTTCATTACTTTGGTTGTCCAGCATATTAAGGCGGTGATAGCACCTATCCAATGCTTTTTGAAGTTTGACAGAGCCACCTTTAAAAAATTTTCCAGAAAACACACTCGCCGTCTACTACATATTCGTGCCTCGCCTAGTTTACCTACTATCCATGTTAAAAATGTTAGTATTGCAAGTCTTATTGCTGGACCAATTTCAAAAAGTCTTTGTCGTTACTTGTTTTTATCGGTGTTTGTTACTGTTGCCACCGGTTTGTATGGAGTCTTGGTTTGTTCTGGTGAGGTGGCGCCGACTCCTATTGCCCCCTTCCTCTGGCGTTTCCCGGCCTCTCCGTATTACATTTAGGGCACTTATAACGCTTGTCCCCTATCTTGCCACACTTGGTACAATATCCGCGGTAGGAAAATCATTACGCCAGTGTCCTACATTTCGGCAAATAAAACACGAACGGTCTTTATTTTTTGTAGCTGCATTTTTATCCGTATTTTTCACGTTAAGGACGGCTAATTTTTGTTCTTTGGAGGCTGATGCTTGTGCATTTTGGCGTCTTTCTGCTAGCATCATATCTTTCAACGGAGCTAGCATTTCTTCAAGCTGCTGTTGCACGGTTTTATGCTGCTTCGTCGTTTTATCCTCTTCGACTATTGTAGTGGTCGTTGCGGTGGTTAACGCTTTTACCAGCTGCAGTTCTGCGCTATCCCCAGCGCTAGGGACGGATTTTACTGCAGCAACTTTCTTCGACGTCGATTGTTTTCGGGAAACAAATGATGTCGCCGGAAACAAACAGTCCTCTGGTGGTGGAGGTGGCCGATATTCTCTGTCTTGCTGTTGGGTTAATTTAACATTCTTGCCCAACAGCAGAAAGTCGTTGAAGCTGCCTATTTGCGCTTTAAGAATCCTACCACGATAGTATGGGTGAAGGTTTCTGTAAGCCCGATTAATTGGTTCGTAGAGCGGCAGGGGTGGGTAAATTTTATCCATCAGGGTTCACAGATTTAACAGATAACTGGCAATATCTTCATGCGGTGCCTGTGTGCGTTTCTCCGCTTCTTTGTGTACCCTACCCTGTAAGTTGTATATTCTATACTGCAACTGGAAAGCAGTGATAAATTCGCCTATCGTATGCCAGTGGTATTTTTCTCGCCGGAACCAATTTTTGGTTTCTGTGTCAAACACTGTTGGTAACGCTCTTAACAGTTCTTCTAACGATAGGTTGTATGTTGTCACGCATTCCCACAACCCCGTCAAAAAATCTTCCTGGTCGTCTTTCGCGCGTCCACGAAATTCCACATTTTAGCGAGCCTAAAGGTCTAGCGTGTATCTTTCGCACCTAATTTGTGATTCGTGTTGGTGTGTTGACATTTGTGCGTTTGCTCCTGGCAACCCCTGTGGTCCATGTATAGCATTCGTATGGAAACCCCTCTCCCCCCTTTGTACGAAATCGCTACTCGGGACCAAACGGTAAGTATTTTGGGTTCCTGAGTTGGATCGTTGTTCGTACACAGGGAATTTACGCGTGTTGTGGCTGTGTATATCCACCCGTGGTTGGCTGATGCTATCCGTTGTTGGTAGTTGTATGCTCGCATGATGTCTTAGTGAGTGTAGGGGTCCGTTTTGTTGAGGTGTCATGCCGGGATTATACGGATAAATAGTTGAGTGCGCTTGGGGTATATTCGAGTTGTACTGGGGTAAGTTAGGCATTTCGGATGCCACCGC